ATAGTCTATAGTGCCTTTAAGGTATCTCGTTCTTCACAACTTCCTAGTAGTTGATTCCTGGGTTAGACTAGAAATAGCACACAAGTCTAACCGCATAAAAATATTCGATAAAGTACACATCATTGCATACATCAGGCTGCCGACTGTACTTGAGTATAGGACTCTTTTCATGCATTCAATGTCAAATTCCTTAATGGAAAGCATTTCGTCACTTAGATTATGACCTTTGACTATAGGAATGTCCATAGGTTTGCAGTCTCTCGTGTTGAAAAGCTTAAGGATTTTGCTTGTGTAAGTCTTCTATAACAAAGACAAATGTTTCCTTGAGCAATTTTTGTTTATCTTAACTCTTAGGATATACTTTGCTATGCCCATATCTTTCATTTTAAAGTTCAAGGATAACTAATTCTTAATTTAACTACCTTAAGGCTAGTATCGGTTAATAATATGTTGTCAACATATAGAGATAATATGACAAATTCACCACCAAGCCACTTAATATACACGTAATGGTCTTCTTCAATCATCTTGAAGTTGAATAAGTTTACTAATTTGTAAAACCTCAAGTTCCATTTCCTATATCATTGCTTTAACCCATATGTGAATCAAAGGAGTCTGCACATTTTGTGCTCTTTACCCTTCTATATGAAGCCTTCCAAATTTTTTTCATAAAGATGTCTGATGTGCACTAGTTGCTTAAGCACCCAAATTAAACTAAGAAATATCCTAATGTGTTTAGGGAGCAACCTAGGTCGAATTTCTAATGGAGTTAATTAAAAATTAACACTTAATTATTTAAATCTACCAAGAAAAGTAATAATTTGATTAGATTTGATTGATTAGGAATTAAAGAAGCAAAGATTAAATTAAAACTATTTTTTTTGGTATTTTCAAGATTTTAGACAGATTTGGAAAATGGTTGAAATGTGTGATTAAAATACAAATTGATAATCTTCCTAGGCACATGAACTCTCTCTCTTATCCTTGCTTTATCTAATTAATTTTCTCTTAACCCTAATTAGTTTTAAAGTCATCCTAATAACCACTAAGAATTTAACACTCATAGGTTCTTTTGATTAATTAGGACCCTAAATTAACCCTTAAAACTAATTATGCTTAAAAATAACCAATTGATTATGAAGCTAATTTCCAATTCCAGCCCTTGCTTTAACCAAATGAGACCTCAAATTGATTAAGAAAATGATTAGCCAACTCCAAGTGTGCTTAATGCACAACTGTGACTCACAAACTTATAAAAGGCAACTAGAAATTAAATGCAATAAGAGATTAAATAAAATAAAGATTTGGACAGCACCAAAATCACTATGACAACACCTCAATTGGCAAATAAACAATATGATAACCTCATATAATACTCAACTAAGTATCATAAAGTTTAATTCCAACAACCATTATCACTACAATGTCATAAGCATCAAAATTCAAGGAATTAAATAAGAGGTAAGAGATAAGAAAAACTCTCAAAATCCACAAGCTCAAAGAGAGTTCATCCATGCATCCTAGAAAAAGAAGACAAGCCTAGCCACTCCTCATTAGCATCCTCATAGCTTCTCCTTGTTGACCAACTTTAGAAACTACCATGGATAAAGACCTTGAGATTTGGCTAAGATGGAATGGAGTGGATGATGGATTCTTTTAATGGGTTATGGTGTGGATTATTAAGGGATTTCAATGGTGGGTTTGGATGGTGAAATGGAGGGTTTTAAGGTGGAGAAGTGGTGGAATGAAGGTGAAAGATGAGTGAAAAATGTGAATGAAGGAACTGTGGTTGTGGAGCTTGAAATTTTGATTATCTTGGAATGTTTGAAGCTTATTTAGATTAATATAATGGCTAGGAATCATGCCCACCAAGTACTTTAAAGTGATGTGAGCCTTGTGTGCATCTAATGATCCTTTCATATGGTGTTTCATGTATGGCCATGAATTTTAGGAATGAATTATTTAAATGGTAGTAAATGAAAATGGAAGACAACTAATAATCTAAAAATGGAAGGAGAATTTCAAAAATAATATGATGGGGATGATGGAAAAATGCATAGCAAAAATAAAAAAAAAGGGAATTAATTTTGGAAGATAGAATTGTCATAAATATCCTTGAGCTTTCTTAAGATTTCATCAATTATTTGTGACCTTTTGATGATCAAAATAGCTCATCCGAGGGACCAAATTTCATTCAAGGGGCTGCCATCATCATCCAAGTGCTTCCCATGGCTTGAAACATATAATGAGCTCATTAAATAGCAAGTTATGTCACAAATAATTCTATGTCTTATAAATTTATCCAATTTAAGGTTAAATTATGAAAATGTGATGAAATGAATTAAAGTGATTAAATAGAATATTAGGAGATAAATTTAGTTATGAGAAATTTCCTAGGATTTTTTAATTACAAAAACTAAACCTTGTACCCTTCCAAAGTTCATTGAAGCTACAATTAAAGTACAAAAAGTGTTCACTTTAAAAGATGTTTTAATAAATAACTCACAAATTAAGTTGAATTAACTCAAATTAAACTCATGGGATTAATGAAGAACTAAATTTTAGCAAATGATGAATTTTTCTATTTTTCAAAAATTACAATTTGCCCTTAAACTTTCAAAATTTTTAACTTTTGCTCCAAAAGTACTAGAAATTACAAAAAGCTTCCCAGATGATCTAAAATGCTTAATTACCCTTAAAAAGTGTCAAAACCTAGGGAAAATAATATGAAAATGATATGAATAAATGATAGTTATCAATTTCCTCATTTAGTTTTCCATTAAAGAAAATGATCTTTATATCCATCTGATGTAATTCCAAATCTAAACTTACTATCATATCTATGATTAACCTAAGTGCGTTAAAATGCACACTAGTGAGAAAGTGTCCTCATAGTCTACACCTTCATGTTAGTGTACCCTTTAGCCACCAAACAAAATTTGGTTTGTCAATCAATCCATCCACATTTCTTTTGTATTTGAGAACCTACTTGCTCTTAATTACCTTTTGGATTGGTAGGTCAACCAACTCCCAATTGCATTAAATTGGAATCTATTTCCTCTTGTATGGTCTTTTGCCAATTTTAATTAGCAAGTCTTATCAGTGCTTCTTTGACGCTCATAAGATCTTCATTATTGCCATCTAGACTAATGACGAAGGCTACTCCTTCAATTGAGAATCATCTTCTCAAAGCTTTGCCCCTTCTACTTCTCTAACGTAGGTTAGTTTCAAGATTCTCTTTTTATATTTGAGTGAGATTTTCATGTGAAAAAGGCTTATTTCTGCTACTCAAATCAATAGACTAGGGAATATTCACTAGTCTACATTGGATCGATCATCAGTTTCATAAAGATTTTGTTATTAGTCAATCTCTCCCTTATTAGGGAATTCAATTTCTAAGAACATCGTGTCCCTTGATTCAACCTCAATCATTAAGCCATCATCATCATGTTCACCAACGAAAACATAACCCTTTGAGTGTTTAAAGTATCTTACTAAGATACAGTTCTTCCCTCTAGGGCTTAACTTCCCGTGTTTATGGGAAGAATCATGGACATATGCTGTTGATCCTTATGGTCTTAGAAAAGTTAAGTCTAGTTTGTGGCATGTCCATAGTTCATAAGGTGTGCTTATGACAAATTTGGAGGGTACACAGTTAAGTATGAAAGCAACTGTCATTAGTGCATCCCCCCAATATGAAATTTATAGGTTTGCTTGTACCATTATAGACCTAACCATATCAAGGACCTAACAATGAAATTGGTAGTCTTGATCTTATGATTTAATTAGTTCTCTACAATTTTAAGGTATTTTTCTAATTTTAAGAGCTCAAATTTGTGAGAAATCAAGTAAATATGCCATATCATGAGAAATAATTGATAAAGATAATAAAATATCATACTCTATGTCTAACCCTCACACTCATGGATCCATAAATGTTAGTGTGTGCCAATTGCAAAAGAATTTCAAATGATGATTTTTTTTTTCTATAACAATGTCAAAATCATGAAAGAATGACATTTATTTAGCACTTAATTAAGGAAATAACATTCACAAGATTTCATCTAATTTCTAATGCATGGAGTACTCCAAGAAGCATTAAGGGTTAGTCACCTTGCAACAATAATTTTGCAAGTACTAACCCTATAACCTTGACTCTAGGTTGTTTATGTAAAGTCTCTACTCAATTCGAATTTAACCATTCACAATTACACATAAAACAATACAATTACAAATCAATATCAGAGTAATAGCTCCTTATTTGTTTTCAAATTATGGGATTTTAACTTCATAAAACATATATTTAAATAAAAGGGCCAATGCAATGCAAATACACAATTTAAGACCCAAAGGCACAAATCCTTTTCTATGGAACATGCTATACGCCACAGCTTATACCACTATGCACCGCGGCATGTGTATAGAGTAATGTGCCTTGCCTCTGTCTGTGCCATATGCTGCGGTATATATGACAACAAATTATGATAGTTCAAATAGCAAACTTTCGCCACGCACCATTTCAACATCCAACGTCCAATTAGAGTGATTCAAATGTCCACATGAGGCTTATAACATATTCTAAGTAATGAGATAAGTTTGAACTCAATCTGACTGTCTAATCTAAAATTGAACACCCGGGTGCAAAAATCACTAGTCTTTCAAAAACTTGCACATTAAGTATTCAATTCTCATTCATTGTCCCATTAGACCACTTCGGGTCTTAAACCAGTTCAAAAAGGACCATATACACCGAATTAGCACCTTATACCATATATAACACATCATATACTCAATTTGACCTCTCAATGCCACATTACACACTTATGAACTTATACGAGGCACAATACATACAATACATATTCACATAGACTTATTCCACTTTTAATCATTCGACTCTTACATATGGGGCCCTGCCTCACCATATGATCAAGAATTACAATTATACTTGACTCTTTCAAATGCAGCTCTGCCTCACCATTTGTGTCAAGTTCTCACATATATACACAATTCAAAATCAATTTCACATTCAACACATAAATATACAAATAAAACAAATTACATAATGACATACACTTGCTTGAATAGCATCCAGGCCTACTCACGTACCCACTACTGGGGCACCTTCAGTGAGATGCAATATCATATATATAAATACAAGCAATTTTTCACAACACAATTCATATACACATCCACTTATACATCCTAGTTGGTAACTCATACTTTAACATATTATACATTTATTTCACTCAATGATAGTCATACCACTACTAAATGAAGCTATTCTTTCCTCGCTTCCTTTCTCGACCTTCTCGTGCTCTCTTCACCTGTATTCAAAAGTAACGGAGTGAGAGATACATTCCAATAACTCAAAAGTAATCCCAATTATAAATTAGTAAGCAAAATCATAATCAAGAGATAAAATAACATGTGTTTCAGTAAAAGCAATATCATATGTATATACAGAAATTCATTCTCATCAATCTCATCATGCTCACGCTAATGCATTCTTGGTTCCACTTAGCAGAGTAATCTCTATGCTCATACTAGGACTTCCAGTCACATGGAACAAAGCCCACCATACCTCTACTCAGACCAGATAATCCTCTTCGCATATATAGAGTAGGACCACAACCCCCTACCCTAGTCTAGGGTAACCTCGTGGATTATTCCTTATCCTAGGCCTGTCATGACAGAATCAAGCTCTATGCTCTAGATCATCAGAATTCTCCTAGGTCCATCCTGGCAGAGTTAAGTTTTACACTCTAAATCATCAAAACTTCTCGGACCTCTTCACGATAAGGCTGCGTCCCCTTATCATAAACTAGGGTATACTCATGGATGCTATTCATATCAATGCACATGTCACCTCGTTCGTTTCAATAAATACTCACACCCGCATGCATATTTGTGATTCTTTCACAATGCTACTACTCTATTAGTACACAACACAATGCACATAGTTATATAAAAATACTTATAAACAATTTTACAAACAAACAAGTAAAAAGGTTATTTCAGTTACCTTTAACCCTTACCAACCACACTAAGCTCCCAAGGGCGTAGATTCTCACGAGCAACTCCACAAGTGCTTAATCTATACAACACGGTATCTCTTAATCAATCCTCCATTTTACATAAGTATTGATTTAGCTAAACCAAATCCCTCACACATTCAATTAGAACCCCTTTTTAATTCATTTATCCACTATCTATAGTCATTGACCCTATAGGCCACTCAAATGACCATAACAACCCCCTAATACATTTATTCAATCAATTTCTCAATTTTGAATAATTTTTAGGCTAGTTTGAGCCTAAATCCTTAAAGCTTAACCATTCAACTTCATATTAGTTACAAAACCTTAGTTTCGTATTCGATAGCCCCTTTTTGACACTTTTTTTTAGATTTCAATAATGTAACTGACAAATTTCAATAAACGACTCCACAAAATGATGTGAGTCACCAAGTTTCATGGTATGGCTCGGCAATTTATAAGGCAAAAAACAATAACAAAAGCGGCAGCAATAACACCAACCTGTGCTTTAGCCAAACAAATGAGGCATATAAGCAATAGCTTTGGTGGCCTTTCTGGTTCCCACACAGGCTGTCAGCTGGAATGAACATCAAGTGTCAGGTGATGATAAATGCCAGCAGCTTCTCTGAAAGTGGTGACCAAAATCTATAACGAAACAAACAAATTATAAATAGATGTAATCAATGAAACAACTAAGATCATGATGAAGAAAGGAGTCTCAATGCATACCAGTTCATAGAACTTCTAAAGCCCTCTCCCCTATTTGTACTCATAAAGAAGTAATATGGGCATCGAGCATTACTCCAACATATCTTTCCCATAGCTTCTGTAATGGAGCTGCTCTCACTAAGACTCTTCAACTGCACTTTGTCCTGAGCTTAACTCCTAAAGTTTCACTAGGGTAGCGGAATCACATGCATCAATCTCCTTTACAATTAAATCTTCAAAAGTGGAATTTGTGACTATTGTAATCAAGCAAATTTAAACCTGTGGCTGCTATGGAGATGGCTGTGTCCCTGATAATGACTCAGACTCTGCGTGGTCTCTTGGGAGCTGATCAGGAATAAAAAGCCAGAACTGATCAAATTACTTCCAAAGAATTTGAAGTACTGTGAATAAAGAAAATCACAAAAAATTACATGCAACATATCATCATATTTGCATGAGATACAAGTTTCAAGAACTGCAAACTTTTGGCATTAATATTCAATAATCCTCTATATCTATAGAAAAAGGGAAAATATAAAGGATTTACTGCAGCAGTGAAATGTAAACACACTGAAACAGTGCTCGGAAACACTCAAACAATACTGAAAATGGAACACTGATAATGCAAGGGAATGAGACACTTATCTCCCACAAGCCTACACATACAACCACATTTTACCCACACCCACTCTGACACTGTCAGAGCAATTACTTATTCTTGATTCTGCTCTCATCTTTTACTTCAAACTCCGGTTTATCCTTCTCTGCTTGTTGGGCAGGACCCTTCAGCTTATGACTCACCTTTCCCCTCCACTAAACCTTGCCACACAAACAAGTAGGCCTGCCCATCAGTAACTTAGAGCCCAAACATGAAATCCATGTTGTACCAAAAATTGGGAGAGAACACAGATCATTATCTACTGCAGCAGTATTGCATATTTTGGGAATTTATGACTAGAAAGCATACATATGCAACCAGTGCAAAAAGTGTGGTCAGTCACTATAGCATCAATAGCCTCATTTTGACAATTAACATAAAATTAATGAATCACAGTAATTACCTGCATTAGGCATCTCTAAATAAGAATCCACCAGCTTAAGATTGCTAGTCTGCCCTCCAGCAGCTGTAGACCAATCCCAACCAAATGAAATAATTCAAACCTTGTGGCTGCTATATATGAGGAGCCTTCCAAGCTGTAAATCAGCAGGATAATCCAGAGATTAATTTAATAGAAAACATATCAGCAGTATGATATCTGGCTTGAGTCATGAAACTATCATCTCATCCTCCTCTGTCATTTTGCATTCTTGATCAAGGAAAAGCTGCATATGATGGATCAAGCAGATTGTTTCTTAATGCTTAGGCACTCCTCGTTTTCTCCCTCTATTCTGCCTCAAGAAATTCAACTTTGTCCGGGCAATCGTCAATAACTCATTCATTTGATCTGTGCCTCCAGACCAATCCAGAGGTACCAATCCCCTAGCTTGTAAATCCTCTAAAAGCTTTTCCTTTTCAACATTAAAAGTTCCATCACAAGCAGAACTAATAAGAACTGTGTAAATTGAGGAATTAGGCCAAAGATGCCTTCGCTTCATTTCTTCATAAAGTTTGAAAGCAGCCATAACATCACCATTAGCACAAAAGCCAGAAATAAGAACGTTGTAGGCAGCTACATCAAGCTTCACACCACAGCACACCATTATACTTCTCAAGTATAAAATCTTATTAAGATCACCTTCTTTGAAACAAATGTGCATTAAAGTAGTGAAAGTAGCAACAGTTGGAATCAACTGATTGCGGATCATGAAATCAAGAACTAGAATGGCATTTTCAATATTCCCGCAGGATGCAAGCCCTCTAATGATTGCACTCTCAGCAACATCACAAGAGCAGACACCAAGCGTTTTCATCTCATCTTTTAGCCTCATTGCTTCCTGTACATTTCCCACTCTACACATGCCCTTTATTAAAGTGATATATTGTCTACATGAAGGAACGTATCCAATTTCCAACAAGGAATGCAGAATAAGATGGGCTTCCTTAAAAGCAGAAGCTCTAACTAGTCCACTGAAAAGGGCATTGTATGTATCAACATTACAAATAACTCCCAACCTATCCATAAGATCTACCACATCAAATGCCATTTTTATCTCATCCTTTCCACATAACTTGGTAATAAGCATGTTAAATGTATAAATATCAGCTACTAAACCATCAATCATCATGCTTTTCAAAAATTTCACAGCAACTTCCCATGCTTCAGACATGCAAAGAATAAGAGAATGACATGTTAACCTATCTGCTACAAAACCACGTCTAATCATGTCTTTATATATCCTCAAACAATTTGTCATGGCATGCCTCTTGGCATATCCATGCAGAAGAATGTTGTAAGTAGCCAAATTGAAAGATAAACTTCTGCTCCTCATGTTTGAAAGGACATTATTTGCCCTAACCATCTGTCCTCTCCTTGAATAATGATCCAAAAGCACATTGAATGCAATAGTATCAAGCCCAACACCTTTGTTCAGTATCTCTTCAAAAGTAAACAAAGCAGCTCTCGAGTGACCTGCCTTAAGTAAGCCAGAGACTAATACAGTGTATACAGCAGGATTTGGTGATAGCAATCCTTTTTCCATTGCTTTTCCTGACAAAATGAGTGCAGCAACCAATTTACCCTTCTTGCATAGCCCAGCAATAAGACTAGTGTATGTGTAATTGTCAGGAAGCAAATTATTCATAATCATCTCATTTAAAAGATCAACTGCATCCAACAGATTTCCAGATCGACACATCCCAGCAAGTAATGTATTGTAAGAAACATTATCAATGGCAGAAGGTTGGCGGTGAAGTCTATGCAAGAGTTTTTTCGCCTCATTTATATGTCCACCAATGCAAAGTCCTTTCAACAGACTCCCAAATGTAAAATGACTTGGGAAATGGCCAATAGTAATCATTTCATCTAACAAAGAAAAGGCTTTTAACGCATCACCCAAATTGGCATAACCATTTATGATACAATCAAGAGTAATGGCGTTGGGATCAAGACCCATCCTGCTCATGTGATGCATAAAATATTCTGCCTCCTGAACTTTTCCACTTCTACAAAGAGTGGCAACCAACACATTACATGTAAAGTGATCTGCAACATGACCTTTGCAATTCATCACTGCATAAACATTTAAAGCCTCTTTTATGCTCCCCATCTTGCAATAGTTATATATTAATGTTGAGTACAAAATGCGGTTTGGAACAAGTCCTGCCTTATACATTTTACACAAGATCTCCTTTGCATTATTTATCTTCCCCGCCTTGAAAAACCCATTTATGAGCACTGAAAATGTGACAACATCAGGGCCTATAGAATCTTTTAAAATATTATTTAGCAACAGCACAGCTTCATCTAGTAAGCCATTCTTACACATCCCATCAATAATTGTAGTATAACTAATACAACTTGGTGTCAACCCATTCAACCTCATTCTCTCAAGAATCCTAAAAACTAAGTCAAATTCAGCATGCCTGGATAGTCCTTTCAAAAGTGCTCCATAAGTCATTTCATTAGGTTGTAGACCATGTGATTCCATCAAATCTAAAAGTCTCAACGCTTCACCAATATTGCCCTCACTACAATGCCCATCAATCAAAATATTGTAAGTGATAGAGTTTGGTGATAGGTTAAGCGATGTCATCTCATCAAAAACATGAGCAGCAACTCCAGTCTTCCCCTCTTTAACAAAACCATTAATGAGTGTATTATAAGTAATATCATTAGGATATACATCTTTCATTCTCATCCTTTTCAATAATAAATAACCTTTAGCACTTCTTCCATCCCTACACAAACTATCAATGAAAACATTATATGTACAAACATCTGCTATGATGCCCTTTGAGGCCATACGGTCAATCAGTTCAGATGCCACTCTATACCTACCTTTCTTGCAATACCAATTCAGAAGAGTATTATACGTGACTACAGTTGGAAAATAACCAGAGTCTTCCATTTTCCTTAACAGATAACCAGCACTCTTAAGCTTCCCTTCTTCACATAAGACATTTAACAGTATGTTCAAGGTAGCAACATTGGGACAAAACCTATTGGCTAGCATTTCTTTGAAAAGGGACCAAAACAACTCAACTTTCTGGTCTTTTACCAATGACCCTAGCACCATGTTGCAAGTGGATATTGATGGCTTCAATCCCTGTAGTCCCATCAATTTGAAAGTATATACAGCATCCCCAACCATCCCTTCTCGTAAACAAACTCTAATTAGGAGGTCAAAAACAGCTGGACTAGAATTGCAAAAGGGGTACGTCTTCATCAGGGCATAAAAAACAGAGTTTGAACCAATGCGCATTTGTAAAAGTTGTTTTAAGATTGATTTGGCGAAGTTGTACATTCGAGCTCTAGCCAGTGTGTGCGCTGTAGTGCACATTATATGGGTAACGTGATTGAGCTCCAAACCAGGTTGCTTGATGACCCATTTAAGAAATTTCAAAGCTAACCTTCCATGAACAGGCCTAAGTGAAGCCAATCTGTATTTCATAAAATTCAGTGACTCCCAACGGTCTATAGTCAAAATTGTATACACGCTCTTCTCCATATCTGAAACTGTTGAGCCCAGAAGGTACTAGTTTGATGCTGACAATGGAATGAAAAAGCGAAAAATCATGTTCAGAAAGAGATTGATTTACAGGAATCATAATCATAAATGTGATCAGTGAAAGAGATAAAGGGGCAATGGAACTTACGTTGATTCAAAAAGAATTACTTGTAGATACTTGGCCTCCCCACTCACAGGTTGAATAATTTAAAGATGGTTCATCTATTTGAACCAGTATAAAGACATCAATCATACTATCTGACAATAAATGAAGCTGCCATCAGTCACAGTATTAGGATCACCAGTCATCTAGTAACCTGCTTTAAAATCTCATTAATGACAAAAATCCTACATAATTTTCATTACATGGTAATTAATTTGTCAAATGCTACCACACAAAATTCAGATTCAATAAACTGGCTTCCAAAATATATACACATAGGCTATAAAAATTCCCCCAAAAAAAAAAAAATTATGCTATGGTGGAACCGTTTGTCCTCCTTGTCTTTGAAAATTAGATCTTTAGTCCAATAAATACAAAAAGTCTAGCATAACTGAATTTGATGTGAGAACTTGACCGATCAACCTTCTCAAGGCTACTACTTTTATCTAAGACATTGATAGCTTGTTTCAAACTCATATTATTTCTCCAAGACTTGAAATGGATCAGGTATTACCTGATTTAGGACTGGAATCCCTGTCAATGAATTTCAAGAGCTTTGTTGGCTGAGCAATCTCAACCGCAGCAGAGCTATTACATTTTTCAGCAGAAGTTTTTAAGAGCCATGTTATCACGCCCCAAACCTGGAGGTAGATGAACGTAACATACAATTCAGTTTGCATACTTATAAGCCTAAAGAACCAATGGTAATAAAGCCATAACAAAGAAAATTCCCATATGAAAATAGGTTTTCACCAAATATTTTAACTAAGCCTATTTTGAAACATAGGTCCTCCCTAGTTAATACAACCACCCAACTATCAATATAGAATTTTTCAAGAGCTATGTTCCTTATTGTTGAACCATGTATTTTGATGATCACAAAACTAAGAGAAGATGTGTTTGTTACTCGTGCAGATTTCAAGATCCATTGAAGTGACAAAACCTCCAAAAGCATGAAGATCAAGAGCAGATTGAGTTTAATAGGTTTATTTATTTATTTATCCTAGATTTAATGTGAAAACTATGAAAGCTTAATTACATGTCATTAAATTGATAAGAATGCATCATTTTAAAATCAATCTTAGGTTCATAAGTCCTTTGATCTCAAGTGTCAAACATTTAGAATGTACCTATGTTCATAATAAGACTTGGTAGAACCAATCAAGCTTGAAACAAATTGAATCACGCTTGAATTAGACTTTAGAAGTTAGACACTACACTGAGAGTCGTTTCAAGTTTGAATTGGCATCTATGTGAGGAAGTGTCTTGGAAATACTTCTATGCTCTAATTCATGCTCGAATGCTCATTACATTCATGCTTGAATTGTCACCAAGTGTCATCTTGCATTTTGCACAACTGACATTTCATGCTGGAATTAGGCAAATCCATGTGTGAAATGGCTCATGCCCAAGTTGGGTTAAAATTTGATCTTAAAGAACCTAAAACCAAGCAAGCCAAATCAAGTTTGTATTAGACTGTTTCAAACGTAATTTGTCACCCAGAGAAGCTAGGTGCTTTTGCTATCCATCTCACGCTTGAAATCTTGATGCATTCACACGTGAGTTGTCATCTAGAGAAGTTGAGAAGTTTTGCTATCCTTTTCATGCGTGAGAGCTAGATGCATTCACGCTTGATTTGTCACACAAAGAAGACTAAAACTTCAACCATCCAAATCATGCATGAAAGTACTTAAGTTCCACACTTGAAACATCATATATAAAACTAAGGACTTAGCCAGGTTCCATTTCACGTGTGAATGGGTCTGTTTCACGCTTGAAATGTCACCAACAACTATACTCACTATTCCAACGGTCTAAAACTTTATTAATATATATATATGACCTCATGTAAGTTAGTAGGCAATGAAGTGAGCTTATTAACATCATTCTTAGTTCGCGAGCATTCTTGAAAACATATTTCTAAGCATCAATATGTCTGCATTCATTCTCTCATCAAATCTATGTTAGATTTGTGAAAAACTCTCATCAAGTTTATAGGGCTACATTGTATTATCAACTCTTTTGAGAGAGTTCTTCGAATGTGCTAAAAGAGTTCTTCAAATGTGCTAAATCTTTCCTATCATCTCTTTGAATGAGAATTCATCAAAAAACACCTTCCACTTACTCTTAAGTGAATAAGGGCTGTTATCCTTTGTGCTGTACAAAAAAGAGATTTTCTCTGTGGAGGTGAATTTAGTAATGAGAGATTTCCTTGCTATTAAGAGAGGTGTTCTCTTGAGTGTGAAAGACTCACAAGTGTTGTGAGATATTTGAGCTTGTGGAAATAGTGAAAAATCTCAAAGATAATCTTGAGGACTAGACGTAGGCCCATGGATTGGGTTAAATTAGGATAAAACTCTTTGTGCAGCATCTCTATCCCTTAAACTCTTTTATATTCAATATATTTATATTTTGATCTCTCTCTTGGTTCTTCAACTTCAGTTTGTAAAAGCTGTATTTGTGTGCTATTGCTGTTTGTGTTTTCACTAAAGTTGATTGTGAAAATATTAGATTAGTCGAAAATTTTCTCAACACCCAATTCATCCCCTTAGGTGTTGTTGCCATATCTAACACCCACATGTACCACACGGCTCAAAATCAATACAAATACACAAATAGGGTTTGATACTACATGTTTGGGTTAGTGTAATTAATGTTGACTTCAATTAAATCAAAATATAGTTTCAAAGTGAAACATAGGACATATGAACAACTACAGGACTTGCCAATAAAGTGCAAACTGACCCCCTACACTGCAAATACAAGTCTTGGTTGCACAAATACCAAAAAAATAATGTATTTAAAAAGTCGTGACGCTCAATGAACAGTATACTATCTATGTATAAAAAGTACAAGTCCTAAGCATGAATTTCTCAACAATGTAGAATAAAAATATGAAAATAATATTTAATATTTGAATAACCAGCAAAAAAATTGTCCATTTCCCGGTTTAAAAATAAAATTTCAATTAAGTAGACAGGGCAATATCAAACATTTCATCCAAATCCATGTTAGAAAATCATACAAACAGTGTGAATAAATAATCGATTTAATGTCAATAAGAAATAGAACCTCTTTTGGGCTTGATGGATTTTCAATTTGAAGTTGATGATAGATATAAAACAAGCTCAGTCAGATGTTGAGAAGTGGTCTCAACTTTGGTATTATAGCTTAATTTTTTATTGCAGTATAATTGCTGAATTATTAAATGTGGGTTGTAGCACTTTTAGTATTGTATGGACATAGCTATTTTTTGACCAAAAAACAAAATGGACATAGCTATTTTCCTAAATTCTAAAAAATGTATATTTTATGAAAAAATGTATTTCTTTTTAATATCCTTATCTCGTATTGTTTAAGTAATTTTCAATAGAGTAGAAATGTTATTTTCTGCCAACGACTGGAGGGTAGTTGCAAGATACTAAGACCACTACTCAAGACTCATCATTAGATGTGGCTAGAGCGTTACAAGGTTTTATCTTAAAATAACTATGTTCTTCTTGTTTCTTCTTTGTATCTCTCTAAGGTTTAATCTTGAGTGGTGAGATCCCTTGCAACACTATATCTCTAATTTGGTGTGTGTGTGCTTTTCTGTATCTTTAAACAAGAAACTCATGCACAAGACAAGAAGAATATTAGCTAAACAATTATTTAAAATAAATAAAGTGATGCGGGAATGTACCAAGCTGATTCCTTGGAAAAGGATGATGCTAGGTAACTCCTAGATACAAATAACACAAAATCATTACTTAGATCATCTCATTATTCAATTATCCTTCCTGGCACTTCATTCAAATGATAGTAAGCACCCAAAAATAGTAACAGGATTCAAGAACAAATTTATTGAAGCCATGCCATGGCTATATGACAAAGGGATAAAGAACTATCATCAACCTTAGTAGTAGTATACAATTTTGTTATTCCTTGATTGCATCAAAGCATCAATTTCATTCTTGTTCATTAAATCGACACAAAAGAGAACATTGTTTGAATTGAAAAAAAAAAAAAAAAAAAACCCAGACGTTTAACTGTTTGGAGCAAGGGAACACAAATATGGTATCTCATTCAAGAACCAAGTTGGATTAACAGTATTTAACCTCCTTCATTCCTATTAGTCTCAGCCCAATACTACTTTCAATCTTGCATTATTTGTAATAAATTAAAGATAATGGTAGAGCACTTACATGTATTGAACAATGTATCTTGTAGTAGCCACACGGAAAGCTGTAAAATCAAGTCACAAAATAAACTCATTTATTTTTTCACAATAGAAGACACCAAATTTGTGAAATGAAAATTAATGAAGGAAAAGATATGAAAGATACTCCATCTCATTGACTAAATCATTAAGGCCAAAGAAAAAACTTTTGAAAATTGTCAACCAAAATCCCTTAACTAACAACATTTCTAAAAGTTTGGTATATGATAAATCACAATAGCTCATACAATCCATGTAGCCGACCCCACCAAGTGGGATAAAGCTTCTTGTTGTTGTATCAAACTTCACATTAATAGTAAGGGACACAAATCCAATTAAATTCACAATCCACCACAATCACAACAGTAAGAAAATTGTTTTGGCAAATAACAATTGGATTAAAAAAACATAAATCCAAAAATTTCCTTATATAGCCAAGTATTTGTTCTCCTGAATTCAATTCAATTTTCCAGCTAACTTATGTTTTCCTAATATTATAATACATCCTAGACAATAGACATCTCCAGATTGCAGTTAAAAGAGCTCACAGTTAAATCATCCATGATGAATGTAACGTACTAAAAAAACCCAATCTAAAACCCATGTATGCATGAAAGCACCCGCTAAAAGCTTCTAGGAAATTGTAGAAGTAGAAATTAAAGCAAAACTCATCAAAATTCCAATAGCAACTGAAGAAAATTTTCCAAGTTTAAAATGCAATAAGTTATGGCATAATAAGAACCAGGATTTAAATTCATCAAAACTCTGTTTCTTATATTCATGGAAACCAACGATCACTCAATCAGTAAAGACAAAAGAATTGTTAATTAATCCGAATGAAACTAAGAACATGTTATTTAGTTATATGAATTATTTCAACAGGTACAGCCTCACGTAAACAAGAGTTTAAATTAGAAAAAGGACCAAAGGAGGCAATCAAGCAAGAAAACATTATGAGTTTGAACTCGATGCTAGAACTTAACTCCCTGCACAATGCCCAAGAATTTAACAACGACCAATCAGCATCCAGCAGAAAAATCATAAATAAAAATGAACTTAATTTATCATTGCTTCTTTCTTCAATATTCAATTAAAATCAAACTCGAAGACAATTGTCGTTAACAAAAGAATGAAAGAAGAGTTAACCTCGAGTTTCTGCCTTGTGATTACTTCAGATAAGCCCGTGATGCACATGAACGGCTCAATTGCTTCCTGATTAGGCCTCGCCATTTAGAATCTAATTGGTTTGGAACCGAAATTGATTTGCAAGGTTAACTGTTGATTCTTTGAAATACTATTTACTAAAGAATTTCCTTGTCGCGTTTAAGAAAAAGGTGAGAGCTACTGGGATGAAATATATTGAAATGGGATTTTGGGGTTAAAACACTTAATATGATGGAAATAACTTAACTTCTCCAATCTCATACGCCATGTATCCCTCAGAGATGTAGCCCTCCAAGGGAAGTGAAGACCTCGGAGAACTTGTCGTCCTCGTCTTGTCGAACTGGAACAGGAGGAAGCGATGAAGGGTGAAGCGAAGTGAATTGTGGATTTGGATGGCGGTCGCAGACGGGAAGATGGAAGCTCCGTGCCAAAAATCTTCGAGGGGAGTGGAAGTGGTGGAGGCCGAGTGAGAATGGAGATGGGGACTTCGGAGCGGCCGAAGAACGGGAGGCCAAAAATCAATTAGCTCCGATTTTACCTTTTTTTTTTTTTTTGGAAGTGTTGAAGGCATTTTTACTTCTAAGTTATTCATTCAGTATTCTAAATTTGCCATTTTCCCCTTCAATGTTTAAAAATAATGTACAGAATGCCTGAGGTTAAAAAATTAATTTTAATTATTAATTGATAAAAAATTATAAAAAATGATAAAAGTTTATAAAAGAGAATTCATAAAATTATAAATAAATATTATATAAGAAAATTATTATCAATTAAGTTCTGATATAGTGATTGGTCAAAATCATATTCTAGCATTTTATGTGAGTCAAAATAATATTTGTATCCTATTATTTATATATAACTTAGGAATTTAATTAATGTTTGTTATAAATATTATGTTATGGATATCTATAACTCATAACTCTTAAAATTCATTTATCATTAAAGTCCACATGAATGGCATAGAAGGAATTCAAAGGTTACACATAATGCACCATTCCATGCCTTTTTATATCTTTGTAATATTAGGATAAGACTTAAATAGTTAAAGGTCTATAAATAAAGGTCATGTCCAAAGCATATATACACTAGTGAATAAAAATTTTCTTCCATTATTTTCTCTTCATTCTTATATTGTCTTATTCTTCTCTACTATTCACATTAACTATATTTTACAACAATGTTAGTTTTCTTCTAGGTATTTATAAGTAATTTTATGAGTCCTTTTATATAGTTTTTGAGGTCATATTTTACAATTTTTTGATAAATTTGAGGTCAAAGTTAACCTTTTTATCAATAGATTAGTGTACCATTGTCAAATATTGAAAAGAAAAATTGTGCTACCATATAAAAGTTTAGTGAATAATCAATGGGTAAAAATACTCTTTAACTTTTTTTTTTGTAATTTCAAACTCCAACTTAAAAGAAAGGAAGAATTGTATTACAGTACCACTTTTGAGAATTATGTCAAATAAAAAATAAAAAATTCTAAAAGTTCATTGCAAAACCAAAGGATTTAATTTGAAAGTATGTTTTGAAAAGAAATGACTATAATTCTCTTTATTTACTATTTTTGGAAAAAAAAAAATCCATCTTGCTATAGCTCTAGTGATAACTACTAAAAATTAAATGCCACAAGGTAGCCAAGGGAAAGTTTGAACCAAACACCCGTTAGTGCACTGAAAAACCCTAAGTTGTATCAAGCATTTTAAAGAAACTAAGATATAGTTATGAGTACATTTTAAGTCATTTTATCCCAAAGAAACATACAATTGTAATGAAACCAAGTCAATGATCAACGATAAGTTAAATTCTAGAGATAATTGAAGAGTTTTAGGGAATAAATGTTTATAATCTTGGATTTTAATGCAAAACAAATGGAAGGATTATTAAATAAATAATAAATCAAATAAGTGAGTCGGATCAGAGTCTTACCAAATTCGATAGTAGCAAAATTTACTCGACTACCCACACGAGTGTAGATTATTATAGTTTAGACTATAGTGCATAGCAGGTGCATCGAATAGAGGGAGGGAAAAAACAAACTAAAGAACTATTCGTTATGGGGTGAACTCTACCTCTAGTCACCTATCTCTATTTATATTGAAGGAAGGCTACTTATGAAAAGGGAAATCCAATCAATAATAATTCTCCTTATTATGGAGAGCATAATTTGATTGGAATAATCATCATTATTATAAAGGATTACTTCTCTTTTGGGAATTCAATCAAAAACTAATCAAATTAATTTCAAATTTTGGTCAACTCATCATTACTAGATTTATGTTACATCCCACTGATTGCTTATCAAGGCGAATTTTATGCAAATTCCAACATCTCCTACTCCCACTTGATAGGACTACCACCATGCAAATCTCATCTCTCTGACTTCATACTTGGTGCTCTATCATGACCAGTTAGACATGATGACCTTGATTTAGATGTTTGCACACCAAATTCTATGACAAGATTAGCATACAAAGACATCTTATTGTATACTTGCGCAGCAATTATAAGTTGCCTTAAGTGTAACATTCTAAATTTTCTAATTCTAAAACTAAATGCTAATTAGTGGTAAATTAATAAATTAATGTGTGATTAGGATTTTGGATGATGAGAGGATGTTTTGACTCATTAGGATGTTGAATGAATATGGTTGAGTAAAGGAATGGTGTTGTGGAGCAAAGCATGTGTGTAGTGAGAATTCTCCTCATTATGCCATACGCCGCAGCACATGATGCAGAAAAATGATAAGTATGAGAGTGGATCGACTCATGAAATAGAAATGAAGAGGAGAGAAAGGACGAGAGGAGATAAGAAGGAGAGATATCTCTACTAAGGCATCAATTATTGGAGCCTTAGGGGATACTTCTGACCGATAGCTTGCCAGGTAAGTTTCATACCACTTTTAACTCTAATTCTACACTAATTTCTCTTAGTAAAGTAATAGAGAAAAATTAGGACATTGTAAGGGGTTTGTTTCTTACTCTTTTATAATAAAAAGACTTAGGAATCAAATTAAAGTTTTGCGACTAGTTTAGAGTTCAACAATAAAGCTTTGACATTGAAAGCTTAAATTACCTTAAACTGTAAGAAAATGGGAATGGAATTGGGGAGAAGGTGTGTTAAAACTGATAGAAGTGAAAGAAAGGGGTGATTGGGGTGTAAGGAACCTAAATTAACCAAGTGAAAAGAAATGAATAATTAAATGTGGTCTTTAGTGATAATTAGTACTTACAGTCAATTTGATTAATTGACTAATAGTATTAATTGTGCGTAAATTGCTGTGTTGCGAATGTGCTTTGAGGTAAAGAAAGCATGTGGGGATGTTTAATTGTTGAGGAAATATAAGGGTAACCTTTATTGTGATAGAAGGTTTGAAGTAATCAAATAATTTACTCTATTTGATTTATATTGTAACTATTTGTGAGTATTGTAACTGTTGTATGAAATTGTTTTAGATTGTGCATGTTTTGAGAAATACATGATTATTGCATGAAAATGATTTCAAAGAAATAAGTTGCAAACGTATATGATAATATAATTGTATAAATGAATTTGAATATAAATAAATGGCTTGTATGTGAGCATGATCATGATAGGAGGTAGGAGTTCACTCATAGGGAGAAGTAGTGAGAATTCCATATAATATTCATTCTCCTCAATGCCCAACAGGATGTGCAGTGTTGGAGGATTCTATCTTTTTAATGCCTAGTGAGGTATACTGTTGGAGATCTGCACTCTTTAACATTTGCTTGATATAGTATTGGAGTAATGACACCCCGATCATTATGTGATAAGGGGAAACCTTAGTTTGAAGGTGAGACAGAACCCCTTTGGTCGAGTGATTCTATCATTGAAGGTGCGCTCAGGTCAATAGGTTATGATTGGCCTAAAGGAGTCTATGGTTTCGGTTCGGGATGATATGAAAGTTCAGATGGTAGATAATCATGCCAGTGGTGATAACTTAATGTGAAAATGGTTTTATAAAATAAAATTATATTATATGGTTTTACTTGCCTTTAAATTAAGCTGTACTTATTTACAATAGTTATTTGTGATAATTAGTAGTAGCAAGTTATTTCATTACTGAGATTATTATCTCACCTTATGGTTACATTTTTATAGGTTCGAAAAGACTTAGGACCGGCTTAGTAGTGCTATCACCGTGTGTTCAAAGAATTTGTGTAATAAATTTAACCTTTGTGTAAATTTGTAAATGATTAAGTTGCTATAGGATGCATGTGCTTATTTGGTTGTGTTATGTGATGATTTTGTGAATATTAGCCCCATTTGTGTGAAAAATGGTGAATTGTGATGTGTAGGTTAAGGTTGAGATGTGTGTGATTGTGAATGTGTATAAAAGTGGTGATTATGTGGATAAATTGGCTAGGAAAGTGTAAATATATAAATTAGTGAAAAACATGCCTTATTTTTGTAAAATGGGCGATTTAATGGCCAAATATGCATGTATATGTGTATATCATGATAGTAAATATGATTCTAATAGCTTAATCTAAGTTTCTTGAACTTGGGGCAAGTAGTTTTATGAAATATAGTGGTTGGAGATTGGAATTTGATTAAACCCTAACTAAATTTTAGGGTTTTGAAGTAGTACAAGTTAATTAAAGGCATGGTTTAGCTAAGAGGGGTGAGTTGGTTGTAGCTTTCAATAGCTTAACTATGAAAGTTATGGGTTTTGGGTGGCTAAATTTAGTGAAATTTAGCTAATGAGTGCTTATGTTGAGTTAATAAACTAATATATTGTGCTTCATATTGTAGATTTTAGTGGTTGGGACTTTCTTAAGGGTAAGGAAGCGATAGGAGCTTGTGTTGGCCATGGGTAACTTTTTTTTTTTATCAAAAGGGTTGAGATAGCATGATAATTTATATTATTTATTAGCTAGTAAAGTTCTTTATATGTGGATGGCATGTACACATTAGATAATTTACATGTATATGTGTATGTTTTACAAAATTGAGAAGTTTTTGGAAAAAGAGTAAAGTTACATGATAAATTGAGAATTAAGTAGAAGTTATAAACATCCATTATATATATATATATATATATAATTTTTAGTATATTAATTTTAAATTTATTGGAAGATTTTGCTGTTCCCAACTAATATTTGTCTTAGTTGATATTAATTCATAGTATAGTGTAGGTTTCATTTATGCTTTAGTTTGATATTGATGATTTATACTGGTTAAAGTGCTTAATTTGATATTGTTGTAATTTTGGAGGTTCCATTTTTATGAGGAAACTCTACCATATTTTTTTAAAACCTTAACATGTTTGTGGAGTACTAGTGGTGATACAGTTTTGATAATTTTAGGGTGTATGTTGGTCTTAGTTAGTAGCCCAAGTCTTCATTTTTCTATCATTGTTTCAATTTATTCAATTTTTTTAGAATAATTGTTTGTGTTTTTGGGAACTTAATATTCTTTGCTCTATCATCTTGAAGTTGTCACAAAATTAAGGTACATGTTTGCATAGCTTTAAAAAAATATTATTGTGAATTTA